ATCAGAGAGAGAAGGATCAGTCTTTTAGATTTATGTGATGCACTTTTGTCAGAGTTAAATATCAGCCCAGAACCAGAACCTGCCTGTCAGACTCTGACACTGCTGAAACACTTGGAGCCTTTAATAAACTTCTTTTTTTTCTTTTTTCTTTTTTAGATTTAGTGATTAAATACAGTCAAATACTTTGTGTTACAGATGAGAAACACAACGCTGCCTCCTACAAAATATGTTCAAATGTTTCAAAAATGACAAATAAATAACTAATTGGCTTGATGCAAAGATCTGGAGACACACACACACACACACACATGCACACTCACTCACACACTCAGAGGCTTTCATTTATGTCTGTTAGACACAGAAAACCAGTGCTGCTGTGCTAACACTGTACCCCTACTACTCATTATTCTTGTAATTTTGACATCATGACACTTCAGTACAATACATCTTAACAACCACGCGTCAGATTCTCTTGATTTCCGGCCGTCTAGTGTGAGTGCGTGTGTGTGCGTGTGTGTGTGTGTGTGTGTGCGTGTGAGAATGAGCTTTATTTTTGAAAAATGCAAAGATTTAAATTATTTACATATTCATATGTTTGAGCTGCTGTAAGTGAAGCTGAGTTTGTGACACTTTGACACGACCGCACTGACCCCTGTGTGTGTTGCTTCCTTTTTAGATCCCGCAAAAGTTGAAACATCCTGCAGGTTGGAAGCAGATTTGATCCTCATGTGGTCACATCGATCGTTGTTAATTTGAAGGTTCAGTATATTAACAGACTAAGCAGCTCCGGTCTCTGGCCGGATTCGGCCCATGCAAGATGTTAGGCCGGTATGACATGACAGTTCAGTTGAAGTCTTGAAGATGATCCTAAAATCGTGTTTTACTTTAACTGTGAACCTCTGAAGTGATCTTTTAATGTGCACGAACACCGTGTTTCACATCCTCCGCTGTCATTACTGAGTCATCGGCCTTTTATCCATTTACCTATTGATCTGTTTGTAATCATCCTCTCTCTGTAAAGCACTTTGCTCAACATCTGTTGTGCTGTAATTAACTGGACAGAAGTTACAGAAGTGAAAGCTTAGATGTAGTTTAATCCAGTAAATGAAGCTCATCTGTCTGTAGCTTTAACAACCTTTAATATCAGCTCTTTGTCGTGAAGTTTACAACGCTGCTGTTATTTTGTCCAAAACTAAATCAACCCACAAAAATGCACAAACTGAACTCATTGTCATCCTGCTGGGGATATTTATCACTTCAGCCTCTTCTTGCTGCTCACATGCAGCTCTGCAGGATGGCATTTTCCTCCCAGAGATGTTTGGACGTTTCCATTCGCCACAGACAAACTGTAGCAGCCGGAGCAAACAGGCCACTTTCACATCGAGCGCTGAACAAAGAGCAGGGGGCCCTGGAGGAGAAGACTGTGAGTCTGAGACACGGGGAGGCCTTTTTTTTTTTTTTTTCTCTTTTTCTTTTTCTTTTTTGCCCTAGCTGGCACTGGAATGGACTTGTAGGCAGGAAAAGAGAATCTGGGGGGAAAACTAATGATGAAAAAGTCTACTCTATCCCTGTGCCTTCATTAAATACATGGAAAGAACGAGAGAGCCACATCTGGATTCAATCCGCGTCCCTTTGATGGCATCAAGTGTTCTTTTCCCAGATCAGGGGGCTGGAAGCTACGGGATGTCTATGGCAGCTCGGAGCCCCAGAAGTCGACTCCTTGCCATACTGAACACAGTTGAACCCCCCCCCCCCCCACCCCCCTCCTCCTCCTCCTCATCACCTCCACCATCCAACTCCCTTCATTCTTTCACCCCCACCACCTCCCCAAACTGAACTAACCGACACTTCAGTACCAACAGTGAGCTGGACGTGGAGAGTTTAGAAGTCTTTACTTTCATTTCAAGACTTTCTGTTCTTTCTGCTCTTGAGTTCAGATTGAAATATCTTCCTTTTTTTTCTACATTTACTACATTTATCAGTTGGAGCGACTCTTTACATTACAGATTCAGAGAAGAGCCCCTAAAATACGACACCAAGCATTTTAAACGCAAACATTTTTGTCCTGTTATCTGTTAAAAGAAAGTAACGTCCACTTGTGACCCTTCACCATAAGTTAGGACTTGTTATAGTCGCGAGCAGTTTGACCAAAGACTGACTTTCCTTCTCACCTGATGCATTTTCTAAAGGCCTGAAGAGGCAGACGTATCCAGCGTTCAGGCTGACCCCTCATTCTCGTCTTTCTCTCTTTCGCTCCTTTTCTTCCACCTTCAACTGATCTGAAACCACGACGTAACATCGGATATATCTCCAGTTTTACGTCCATAACACTTTGAGAGAGAAACTATAGTTTCGATGCTGTAATTTAAAAACATTTTACTCTGGAAAAATGAATGTTAATTTCTCTTTCAGCACCTGCCAAAGTCAGATGTAATTGGGACTTTTCAGCGTCAGTTGATGGAGTGAAGAGCCCTGACGCTCCTCCACCTCTGATTGGATGAGCCGCTGTAAAGTACCTGGGAAACACACACCTTTCAACTGCAGCTGCTGGATGATGAGCAAGAGGTGCATGAACAGATAACTGTCACTTCACTTAGATTAACCTCGTGCAGGAGCCACATTTTGCGATGATGACTATAGAGGTCGAGAAACCCCTTTAGATCAACCGGTTTGATGATTATCAATAAAGTAGATGACATCACCAATCATCAGTCTGATGAGGCCTAATAAAGAGACTGAACCAGACAGGAAATGTGCTGCAAAAGCAAAATTAGGAGCTAAAAGAAAAAGTCCTGCAGAGCTGCAGACGTGGTGATAAACCTCTGTGGGTGACAGCTTTCACATCACATGTACGGCATGTCATTTCATTCACTGTTAATCTAAAATGATCTGAACCACTTCACAATGAGACTACCCTCATGAAGGATTTAGAAAAATGTTTAGGTTATTAATTTGGTTGCTAACACTTTATAAATCCTAAATAAGAAGATATAAACAAGTTATCAAAGTTTTGATACAGTGATACATGGTCACTATTTGGCAAGATAGATCAAGTTAATGCTTAACATTCATTACTCTTACTAATGAGTTGCTACCATTTATAACTGGTAGAAGGGAGTCTTATTAAGTGTAAAACCCATCACTGTATTAATGAGTTACCAGTTATAAATAATAGTAGCTCAGATGATGAATCTGGTCATTTGATCTGCCATAATTTGATCTGTCAAATGAAACCTTTCGACCGTTAAGATGCTGACGGTGATTCATTACTAGTAAGTTAACAAACATGTGATGAGGCAGCAGGTACAAATGCTGGAGGATGGAGAAAACAGAGGAAGCTCAGTAACTAATGACATATGAGGCTGAACAGTACAGATACATGTGGGCTCACTATTTGGCAAGCAACAGCTCACTGTTACCCTTTCTATCTAATGTGTTATAACAGCTTATAAATATTTATAAAGTGTTAACGAGCTAATTAATAAACTAGTTATAAACCATTCATTAATCCTTTATAATGGTAGTCTGTTTAAAGCATCTTCCAAAACGATGTGCAGGACTGGAGCCGCCTGGAAGCAAGTGAAGCAGGATTTCGTTTGTGTAATTTGTGTAAACTGCACCTTGTAATTATGTCTTCATGCGTGCACCCACAATATCAGGGTCCCTCAGCGCGACATCTATAACATGACTTCACTCAATTCAGAGGTCAGACGGGTGAACAACTTGACTCGTATCTCCAATTTTCTTCAAACTTTCAAATAAGGACTAGATGTATCAAGACACATATCTCTGTGAGCTGAAACATTCAGCTCCACATGCTCATCAAACCCTTTTTAAAACACTTTGCACGACGATGTCAAAATAGTATCAACTGAAACCAAAATATTTCCAAAAGAAAAAGACATTTTTGGAGCAACAGTGATGTGTAACTTGCACTTTCCTGGGGGGCCCCTGGCGGCCCCTAATCAGTGGCAGCTTATAGTTTGCTTAAAGTCACAATGACACTTTATCATTTACATTTTAAATGGTGGATTCAGGCGCATCCAGATTTCAGTTTTCTTCATGTGGACGCATCTGTGGAGAGACTGACTGGCACGGATTTAATTGGTGGCAGACCGCAGGGACAGTCAGGGTGGGTTTATCAACACACATACAGTGATAAGTGTGTGTGTGTGTGTGTGTGTGTCCCTGCTCCCCTCACACTCACAGTCATTATAGGCTGTGAGGTGGTTTTTGCCAACCAGGGTGACAAAAACAGGCAGGAGCAGGGTGTTGATGGTGTTTCTGCTGAAGGGGGGTGGGAGGGGGGGGGGCAGCTCGCGGTGGGGGCCTGTGAAACGTCAGACACAGCATAAAGGCATTGCCACGTAATTACGGGGCTCCTATTATGAGTGTGTGTAAGAGTGTGTGTCCGCCCTCGCAGGGGCCGCAAAGTTTCTTCAAAAGAGAGAGAGAGAAAGAGAGAGAGAGAGAGAGAGAGAGAGAGAGAGAGAGAGAGTCTGCAGCCTGGAGGCGCGGCGGTAACGTCCTGCCTCCTCGCGCCTAGCTGCCGCTGAGCAAGCTTTGCGCACACACGGAGCTTTGCGCATCTGGTCGTCATCATCATCAGCAGCAGCAGCAGCAGCAGCTCTTCCTGCTCAGATGTGACTCAACCAGAGTGGGAAGAGAGCTCTTCGTCTTCTTCTACTTCTTCGGGGAACTTCTCTGACAAACCTCCGTCAACGTCGCAGGAGAAAGAGAAGCCGTTTCTTCTTGTTTGCCGCTGACGCGCTGCGCTAAATGGATTGGCTGTAGTTGGGGGTTTTTTTGTTCGGGAAAAGCAGGCGAGGAGAAAACTTTGCTGAAGTTTGTGTGTGAGAAACCTCCGCGGCTGATTTGGATTTTGAACAGACCCACTTTCTGCTCGGAAGACCCGAGTCTCCCTCCGGCTGGTTCCTGGACACCGCTGCCTGCGCGTTCTGCATGCACGGATCTACTTGGCTCGCTTGTTGTTCTTTTTTCTCTTCTACTCACCGCTCCGTTTTTTCCCGCTGTTCCCCACTTGCGTCATGACTTCTAGCTATGCACATGTAATGGACAGGCAAGCGACGATATCAAACCGCCTGGAGAGTCCGATCACGTCTAACCTGGACAACCTGCAAGCCAAAAAGAACTTCTCGGTCAGCCACCTGTTGGATCTGGAAGAGGCCGGGGAAATGGTCGGCACCCAGGCGGACGAGAGTGTCGGGGAGGCGGGGAGGAGTATGCTGGAGTCGCCGGGGCTGACCAGCGGGAGCGACACGACCCAGCAGGAGAGTAAGTTAAAAGCAAATCGGCAAGAGCTTGAACCCAGACTGGGACTGAGCGGAGGAGGATCAGGAAAAACCTTCTAAATCTGTGACTAAAAAAATCTTAAAATCCCTCCGCGGTGCATTTTAGAGCAGATGTGAAAAACACACGAGCTGTGGAAAACACCGTAGACTACATTTCACACAAACCGTCGCTCTAATGACAAAAAAACAAAAACTAAATTCATTTGTTTTCATTATGTCCTGGCGCGTGTCCGCGTGCGGAGCGCATGAATGGGGCTCTGCAGAAAAGCAGCGCGCATGGAAGGAATCCTTTAGTGAGTTTTGGCAATGCATCATCCCCGACGGCCTCCCCCCTCAAAACGGCCATTAATTTACCATTAACACTTTGATGTCAGTGAGGTATGGTGATGTTGGTGGACATGGTCAGTGAAGTAACCTCGCCACTCAAACTCGGGGGTAATAAATCTCTTTCATGACTGTTGACCCAGATGAGGCCACTTTTTTTAATCGTGAGGTTTTAGATCTTTTTTTATTATTATTATTAAAGAGGAAAAATCGAAATAGGCCGGAAAATTTTATTTTGAAAAAAACTTAGAGTGAGTCACGCGATGACTGCGCCACGTGCATGACAGTTTGTAGTAGTTTATCATGAATAATGAGAAAGGCCAGTTTTTCAGCAACCAGAGTTCCTCCGTGTGTGTGCGCAAATATGAGGCCAATGTAACCGGAGTCTGGTGACTTCAGTGGCGGGTGCTGCTCGCTGAGCGGCCGCTGATGGTCCACCCTGAAGGTAAACCTTCTTATAGACCTGTTGTATTAAAGCGTGCTGTTGCGTTCATGAAATTCGACTATAACTTGGATGAAACCCGCCACTCGCACTCTCCTGCGCGCAGTTGGGAGAGTAAATACACGCTCCCTCCTTCCTCCTCCTTCCTCCTCCTCCTCCTCCTCCTCCTCTTCTTCTTCTTCTACTCAAAGGGCCATTTGCAGAGCTTGACAGAAACGTTATAGGCTTTAATGAGTGTTATTGTTATTTTAAGTTTTAGGGTTTTAAGGGTGTTTTTTTTTTTTTTTTTAAAAAGCTAAAAAAAAAAAAAAAAAAATCGGAGCCGCGGGTGTGAGAAATATGCGGGAGGAAGTGGCCAGGTCACGTCGTTAATTCACGGTTATTTTCGGCCTGTCAAACACTTTCAGAATATCGGAGCCTAATCATTTGTCATAATTACCGCGCGTGTCCTCGCTCCAACAATTAAGGAATCAAATAACAAGCGTCTCATCAGCTCTTATTTTGTGGTGTGATGACTTTAAAAGCAGCAGACGGAATTCATCAGCACGGCTTCAGAAAGCAAATATTGGTTTGATGAGGAGAAACATTTGTGGTGATTTTTCGGGCTTTTGTTGCGCAATGTCGAAGAAAGCGTTCGTTACAGTGTTGTTCCACATTCATGAAAGATTCAGACAGAAATAACAACAAACAAAGTGCTGACTCCTAATTTACACAATCGGCGCTTTATTTTTCCGATTTACTGACAGAAACGTGAAGGCAACAGTTGGCCTGAACATTTTAGGACATTTTAATGTTTTTTTTGTTTTTTTTCTATGTTGCACAAATATATTTTTACAGGTCCTGTTTATTTAAAATATATAAAACGACATTTTATTGTGTAAAAAACCTGTTATTGTTTTAGGAATCAATAACCACTCCTCTCCTTAATTACTTCTGGCAGGAGGACTAATTGACTTTCACTGATTGCTACTAATGAGATCAGTCTAATCACACGTGTTGGCCACACTTGGAGCTGCAGGGTGATGATGATGATGGTGATGATGAAGGTGGCGGGAATGGCTTTGATTTGCTGTTTTAAATGTCACCCTGCAGGCTTAATTAAAAGCTTTCGGAGGCCAAACCGCCGCCTAGGCTCAGGCTCTGCACCGCCGTTCAAATAAACACAGTCCGGAGGTTTTAAAGTCTATCTTTGGCAAAACGAGATTTGGATTTTATTTAGATATTTTTATCCACTTGGAAGAAAGTGCAAGAAAAAAATGGCACCGGGATCCAGAAAATAAATCCATCTCATCTGAGGCTGCTATTGATATTTATTTTTTTTTTTTAAGAAATTCCTTAAGATTTTATTAAATGTATTTTTTTTTTATAAAAACAAAATTAAATCTGCACTTCACGCGCAATTTTTTCTCCAGTCAGACCTGCAGCGCCACATTTCTGTCTTTTGAATAATATAGATGATAAAATAGCCTATTTAATTTAATATATATATATGTGGGCTATAAATGTATAAAATAAAATATTAAAAAATATTTAATTGATACAAAGAAAAATCTCTAAAGTATTGATCCCTAAATACTTTTATTTTGACACGTGACATGTCTAATTCATTTTGGCACTCTGTAATCAGTTTTTTTCAATATATTTTTTCATTATCATATTAAATAACAGATTGAATGTAATTTCAGTTACGTTAACTAATTTCTTTTACTATTTAATAACTATTTTCACAGATCTGTCTTCGTGTTGTTTTCACTTTTCTCCGGTTGTCACGTCACAAACAGGCGGACTATATGACCAGCGTCATGATTTTCATTTTAACCTCCAGCCTGTAAAACGCCAGTTGTTTTTTTTTAGGGAGGGTTTGGGGGGGGGGGGGGACTATGCGCGGTCGCTGGTTAGCCATGTGCTGCTGCCATCAGCATTTACAGCCGGAGTTTACTGCGTCCGTCTCCGCGACAGCTCCTCACTTCAGCCTGCTTCTTTAACTCCGCTCAGGCCCCAAACTGTGGAGGGAGAAGCTCAGAGGGAAGCCGGGAGGAAACGAGATGGAAGTCAGAATCAGATGAGAGAGTTTTTGGTGCTAAAAATGGTTTCAGCCGGTTAAAGTGTTTCCTCATAAACCTGCATCCACAACAGCAGGAATGTGATATATTTAAAAAAAAAAAACAAAAAAAAAAAACACCACGTCTCAATGTAAAGTGGCCTCAACTCAGTTTAACACACACACACACACACACACACACGTTTTAGGTTTTGGTTCTTTTCCTCAAACACATTTCAGATGCAGACAAGATGCAGTTTTTCTGTATTTAACACATTAATAAATAAACTCAAAGTGATTTGTTAAATGACACAAAGCAGCAAATCACATATCATCTATAAGAAATACAAGAACATGCAACATTGACCGAACTACTTCTCCCCTTCTCTGACAGCTGAGTCACTGATTACTGTGCAGATTTTCATGTTACTTGCAAAAACATATCATGAAGACAGAAAGTTTAATCTGTTGGTTTTCAGCCCTGGGGGGTTCGGGTCGCCCACAGAGGGGTCCTGAGATACATCTGAGAGGTCACATGATGATTAACTGGGCTGTGAAGAAGCTGAAAATTGGTTTATTTTTTCTTTTAGCCTGAAAATATTTAGTGATTTTCAAACAGACAAAATAAGCACAGGAGAAAAGAAAGAAAATATGTTTCTTTTTTTCTTGTTAAATAATAATAATAAAAATCTGATGAATCAGTCGGAGGAGAAAAAAAAAAAAAAGCTTTTCAGTTAAAGTGGCAGCAAGCGGCTGCAAGTTTCATCTTAATTAAAGGTCAAAGGCCAAAAAGATTGTGAAGCAGCTTCTTTAAGCTCCTCCACAGTATTTACACCTGGTGCACCTGGAGCCCGAATTCATCAGTGATTTAGTTTGAGGCTTAAAGAAACTAAAATGAACACTTTTACTCAAATTGTTAAGGTCCAATACTTTTATGTAAAATTTCAAATGTAAGATTTTTATTTTTTTTTATTTGCACAATTTAAAATCAGGTTACAGATCATTTCACTCAGGTTGAATATTAGAAAATTCTTTCCACATTATTAAAATTTGCATCAAAACTCCAGTCCATGGTTTCCAACCTGTGGCTCTGGATTCGCAAACGGGTCCTGATTAAATTCCTATAGAGCGAGAAACATTTCACACCAAGTTATGCTCATTTTTTTTGTTTTTTCCTGTAAAAATCCTTCAAGTTAAAAAAATATCAAAAATGATTTGTTGGTCAAACTGCACAAAAACTAAACCGTTTTTAAACATAAACTAATGTCAGTGGTCACCAGTGGATATTGTTCTATTTTTCCGGAAAGTTGGGAACCATCGAGTTTATATTTCATGTACTCTGAGCTGTCTCCTGATTGGTTGAGAGTCAGCGATGACACATGACTGTCAGGGTGTGTTTGTGCGTGTGGAGAAAGTATAATCTTTTAAAAGTATTAATACCATAAAAGTTTATATAGCCTATATATACTCTATTAAAAATTCAGCCGTAAGAATTTTACCTCGGAGCGTTTCAGTGGTAGGATACATGTTCACTGACCTGCAGAGTTTGACCTGACATTTTCTCTTTATTTCATGTCAGGTCTCTACTGTGTTTTCTGATGAAGGAAAAAACATATTTTACAATGTAATTTAAAGTGAAGAATTAGCAGTGAAATGTGTGAAAAGTTGAAGAACTCGCTGTAAAGAATCTTTAAGGTTGAAATGAAAATCCAACAAATTAAAAATGAAAAAGAAGAAATCAAATGTTGTAGATACAATGTTTTCACCTGACATTAACCTCATATCTCCAATTTTTTCAGGCAGATTTCTTATATCTCTTAGCTTTCAGATCACATCTTTAATTATTTAGATTCACTGAGCAAACCTCAAGACCATGAGATAGGATTGAAAGCTCTGGAAAAACCTTAAAGCAAAAAATATCAATACGGCAATGAAACTACTTTGTTTTACATTTTCACTTAAGAGGGAATCATCAGTTTCAATGCGTTGTGAAAATATTCACACTAAACCAAACAGAGAAACATTCTCTCTCTCTGTCACTCACATACACACACACACACACACACACACACGGACCCAAGCTGACGCCATAACACACAGTCAACCTGCAAATAAATTCAGGTGGATCACATTTATCCAAACGGAAGCAAATGTGACATTAAAACATTTAAATTCTGTTTTTTTAACAAAATGTTAATATTAGAACGACTCTAAAGAGAGTTTTTCAGGGTTGGCACCAACTTCGCTGAATACAAATAAAAAACACTTGAGTCGAACAAAATAAATAACTGAACAACAGCAATGTTATCGTGCGTACGTGTCTAAAAGTCACTGTGTTGTCGAGCTGCAGCGATTAAGGGCAAAAAAAAGGAATCAGAATCTCATAACTCCAGATGTTAACTCATAACTCCAGATGTGATATAAACTGAAGTGAAGAAGAAAAAAAAAAGGGCAATATTTGCCTCTGAACTGAGGGAACGTCTCGTTAAGAACCACAACACATGATGTAGAGTTCTCCTCTTTCTCTGCATGTGTGTAGCTACAGATTGTATATATAGATCTGTGTGTGTGTGTGTGTGTGTGTGTGTGTGTGTGTGATTAGGCAGGACCATGGATGAGCGCCTTCTTCTTTTTCCCTGTATGAAAGTGTTATTTTGTGGCAGCAGCACTGATCCAGCCACTCGGAGCTGGACGGTGTTCCAGAGCCGAGCTGGATTATATATTTATTTATTTATCTCTGCGGAGGAGGAGTTTTGTTAGTTTGCTTGTTCACTTGTGCGTTTGTCTGCTTGTTTGTCAGTCAGGCTGTTGGAGCAAGGAGCAAGTGATTTGTCTATGGTACAAATCCATGATTGTTTTGTTTTTTTTTTGTTTGTTTTTTTTTAAGGGTCAGTTGATGTTTGAAACTTTTAAACTGCTCTGTTTTGGTTTTATTTATCTGTCTCTGAGGTTTCTGCCTTCGCACCAGAACGAAGAAAGTGAATGGAGCTTTCAAAAAATGACATTGACAAAATTCAGCAGCATCTTTTTCCCTCTCTGTTTCTGGTGACAGTCCTCGGGAAGCTCTGTGTCAGAGTAACTGCGGAAATGTTTTTGGAAAAAAGATGCCACAACTGAATTATTGCAATGCCTCTTTTTTCCAACCTTACCTTTTAATTTGGGTGAATGGTCCTTTTGAGAAAAGATATTTTTGGACATTTTAACAATTTTTTATACTTTTTTATAAGAAATGTATATCATGGTGGTTCTTTGTGCATATAGAGGGTTGAGAGGGAGACAGGAACTGTGGGAGAGAGAGAGTGAGAGAGAGAGAGGGAGGATGACGATGACAACAGTCTCGGGCCGGGTTCAAACATTGAAGTTGTAGTTTTCCGTCGTACACGTCTTAGCTGCTCGGCCGCTCTACAGGTCGACTGGTCGCTTTATATGTTTTGATGCATGTCGGTAGAAGCGCTCTTTAGTCATAGCTGCGATATCATCTTCAAATGATCAGAGTAAGAAACTGTGTTCAGATCCTTTTGCTCAAGTAGAAATGATGCATTAATACTGTCATTATGCTGAAGTACAAAAGTTTAATCTGTTGTCACATATCAAAATAAAAGCACTGGGCAGCAGCTGCAGGTCAGGTGGGAGAGAGCAGGGTTCCCCAGCTGCTCCCAGTCTCCGGGCTTCCTGTGCGCATGCATGCTGTGGGCAAAAGCATCTGCAGAATTAATGTAACTTAATACAAGTGAAGACCTGAATTATTATTATCAAAATTATGAATGTGTGATCAGTCTGCTGTAGGGAAACCAGCTCCGCAGCTTTTTAGATTGTGATTGAGAAATGAATATTCTTCACAATGATCGATCGTCAACATCAGTTTCGTGTATTTTAAAGCTCTGTTGTTAAGTCTGAGGACAGAACAGTTGTTGTTGTTTGAGTGCGGGTATGAATAATATTTATTATTAAGAATTTGATGTGGTCCGACACGGAGCTTTAAACCTCTTATTTGCTTTAGTTTTGCCCCTCCAGCAAAGAAAATACCTCCGTGTCTGTAGCTGAAACCTAAGCACTTACCTAAACCCCCATCCTACCTCATCTTCTTCTTCTTCTTCTTCTTCTCCTGCAGATGAACAGATGAACACGGAGGAGAAAAAGAAGAGGAAGCAGCGCAGGAACAGGACCACCTTCAACAGCAGCCAGCTCCAGGCCCTGGAGAGAGTGTTCGAGAGGACACACTACCCCGACGCCTTCGTCAGGGAGGACCTCGCCCGCCGGGTCAACCTCACCGAGGCCAGAGTCCAGGTACGAAACAAGGGCGTCACAGCTGACTGTCGAATATAAACCACATCCAGAGACTTTTATTTTGACACAGCCATGATTCCTTGAAGTTTGGAGGTTTTCCCTGCAGCAGCAGTGATTTATCAGACAGGTTCAGCTCCTGATCAAAGAAGATAGAAGCTGTGAAACTAACTCACTCAAAAATGGTTCTTGAAGTTTTGGCGAAACCTGCGGGAGCTTCTTAAGGAAGGGGGGGAGTTATTAAATGATTCCTGAAATGTTTTGTTTGCATATTGGACAGAGGGCAGCAGCAACAGGCTGTGACTGGATGGACGTTTTATAAGAAACACGAAGACATGCAGTCACACGTAAGGGACAAACAGCAGGGCGCCCGGTCTCCCCCCACGTCTCCACATCATCTGTTTGCTCTTACACTCGCAGATTTAGTTAATAGCTCGTAGTTATCAGGGGCTATTAGCGTGTTTAGATTTCATATTGTGCCGTTCCATAATTGGACTGATAAGAACTTGTCAGCACATTACAGAAACTTTATATCACACTCACATGATCACATGAATAATTAGTTTACTGATAGAGTCTGTGAGCAGTTTGTAGAGTCCTCAGAGGACTGGATCTGATCAGAAAAGTGGATGTAATGACGTCTAATTTCCTCAGCGGTTTACAGATCAGTGATAAACTGCAAGTGTGCAACACATGAGGCTGCAGCGGAGCAGGAGCTACACATGATGATGATGATGGTGATGATGATGATGATGATGACGGAGTTGGCCAAATGGAGGATGTCACACATGCAGATATAATCAGACAAATATGATGTGGATTTTACATTTTTAATGCAACCAGAATATTTCTTAGTGAAACTGGCAGCTGTGGCATTGGGTGTGGGTTTGGTGTCATTCTCTCTCTCACACACACACACACACACACACACAGAAAGTGAATGCTACTTTCTCGGTCTACATACAGTTGTGTTAACATCTAGCAAACTACATAACACAGTTTAACTGATCATAGCGCAATAGTCTGATAGAGAAAAGAAGAAGAGACGTTGCTTTAGTTTTAGTTAAATTAGCAACTGAGAGACTTCACTGAGAGAAACCTCAGTGAAGTTAAATGAGTCTTTACGTCTTTAACCATAAACCACAAAAATAAAATGAAATAATTACTAAAATAAAATAAAAACCGCAGAAATGTTTTAGCTACCAAACATTTTTTTCTCCCCAAATTTGTTTATTGGATTTTCTACAACACAAAAATTTAATCACATCAACATCTCCTGTAAAATCAAAATTTAAATGTGAACCAAACTCCCCATGCACAGCCAGTATCAGCGATCAGGTGGTGGTTGGTCGCAGGAACGTCTCAAAGTTACCCACTGCACACTGAGATGACCTCACTGTGACTTTTAATGAGAGCCTACAACACGCTTCGTCTGCCGCTTCTTCAGGTTCGCTCGGTATAGAATAAATAAATAGATAAATGTATTGATTTTTTTTTTGTTTTTAGAAACATGCAGCAGTGGGTGGGTGTAGTCTTTTAAGCCCCGACTTTACTGCCCCGTCAAGCTTGTAGCCTGACAGACAAAACCCAGGGCAAGAAGGAGGAGGAAGTGAAGGCAGTTTCTGTATCTGGATTTGTATGGACTCAGAACTTCGCTCATCTAGATTATAGCAGCTGAACAGAGACGCTGTTTAAGGAGATTTAACCAGTTAACCAGAGATTTAACCAGATACTCAACTGTTAAACTGTGAAACCGAAGGAATAGGAGGAAAAACATGTCACCCCTGGTCCCTAAATGCCCTTGGTTGCTCTGGATAAACACTGAAACTAGACGAAAGCTTGTCAACTAATAAACAAAGAAAAAAGTTTTGAATGCACAGATCTTACTAAACAATGATATGACATGAGAAGCAATAGAGTACATCCTCCTGCAGATAAATACGTATCTATAATGCCTTTTTTGTCGTATATTTTTCTGCCCTCTCTTCAATCGACGCAGTGAAAGTATTTGTTCTGTGGGCAGAGTGCGAGGGGAAAGAGGAAATGGTGATGGAGGGAGAGAGGCAGCACATCTGTGATTAATGTGTAGCAGAGAGCGACGCAGAAATCCTTTGATAAAAGAGACTTTGGGCCCATTCCTGAGGCTGTGCGTCAGCGGACAGCGCGCCCCTGTGAGGAGCGCTCACCGTTTCTAATAATGGATTCGATGTAACAGCAAGGAACAACATTAGCACCCCCCTAAACACACACACGCACACACACACACACACACACACACACACACACACACACACACACACACACCCATTCCCCTCAGGAGGTGCTGCTGATTAGGGTTAGAGAATCATTTAGAAAAAAAAACGTTTGTTTAAATGGTTTTTAAGGCCTCTGTTCCTTTAATTGACGAGCAGGACGCCTTCTGTTTGAGTCTGTGTGATAACACAGCCTGTTCTGTTGTTTTGTGTTAAAGGTAGGCAATATCACCACGGCAACAATCAGCAATACCAATACTGATATTATTTTATGTACTTATCATGTGGAGGGTTGTTTTGATGTACACATCACTAATACGTCTTTACTGATCATCACCATATTAAGGATTCCTTGTACATTCTGTGTCACATGCTTAACCAACAGTAACTGCTGCATGCACACGCACACAACTCCACCACAGAAGAAGAGAGTTAGAGTTCCCATTGTGTCACCAACACTGCAAAAGTGTAAAAAAAATCGGTTGCCACATAATGAAAGAACAACTTTAGATGTATTTTAATTATTGTGATGAACAATAATAACACAAAGTTACATCTTAGTTAAAAAAAAATGCAATCCAAAAGTCAAAAACAAACAAACAAAAAAAAGCCTTAAATGAGTCCATGCACTCAGACCGCCTTAAATCTCCACATTTAAAGGCTCATATTCCTCTTAAATTGTCATTAAGGGTTTTTTGAAATTTAAGTTAAGTTATAAAACCCTTAATTATGAATGTGAGAGCACGTGAGCAGAGAAGTTCATTCTACACTCTGGGACCATGTGTTGCATATTCAAGGCCCACTAACTTTTAGGAGCTTTCAGCTGTCTCGCACAGTCTTCGTCAGCAAACTGGTGCTAGATAGAGTGTCAGTGTTTCTTGTAATGCGTCACGGGATGATGAATGAGATGAGATGAGGCTGAAAGCTCCAGTGGAGGACCTTAGTGTTGATTGTTAAGGAGCCTCACTGTCTCTACATGAAGGACACGTCTCACTGGCTCTGGATGTGAACTGTGCGCTGCTGATTCATCCAGTAGAAACCGTAACTCCTGATGATACTGGGCTGGTTCTTCTATTTCTATCAAATCTAAATATTCTAGATGAGTTTAGACCTTTTGTCCCAACTTTGACCAAACATATTTGGTATCTTTAGAGCTTTGATGACTTGTCTAAAGAAGAGTTGACTGAGGTGTTTGTGATGTCACGTGGCTCATGCTGTTGTTCTCTCCTTGGTTCCAGGTTTGGTTCCAGAACCGGAGAGCTAAGTTCCGCAGGAACGAGCGCGCCATGCTGGCCAGCAAGAACGCCTCGCTCCTCAAATCTTACTCAGGAGACGTGACGGCGGTGGAGCAGCCGATTGTACCGCGCCCTGCGCCACGCCCTAACGACTACCTGTCCTGGGGCAGCGCCGCCCCCTACAGGTAGAGTCCGCTGTCACCCGCCACCACCCAACAACCTGAGGTTCACTCCTCATTAACACACAGCACAACACCGGTGATCTGCAGCGCAGTGGTGGAGGAGGAACTAGAGTTTAGCTTCACTGGCTAAAATCCTCATATCTCCACTTTTTATTTCATTTGAAGAAAGAGGAAAGGGAAGAAGAGAAGGAGGAGTAAAGGACTCAGGAAAGAGGGCAGGGAAAGAGTAGATAGGATAGTAAGAAGGAAGGAAATAAGGGAAGAAGGGACTGAAGAAAGAAAGAAGGAATGAAGTGAAGAAAGACGGGACAGAAAAAGAAGGAAGTGAAGAAAGAATAAGAAATGTAGAAAAGGAAGGACAGATGGGAAAGACATTAGCAAATAAATAACAGAAAGAAAGAAAGAAAGAAAGAAAGAAAGAAAGAAAGAAAGAAAGAAAGAAAGAAAGAGAGTTAACATGTAAAAGGGGGAGGAAGAAAAGAAAGAGGCCGAACATCAAATCACTCAAGTGTATCCAGTTGAAAAAGCACAAGCTGAGACCACAATAACCATGTGTTAACACCACCATAACACACACACACACACACACACACACACACACACGCACGGTGACCCTGGCACCGCTCTCTGTTATTGTTTCATTTCCTCCTCTTCCTCTACCTGCACATACTCCTCATAGTTCCTCTGCCCGTCTTCATCTCCTGTGATCCACCTGGACTCAGACCGGGTCAGACCTCGGTGTGAGGACGACCATCTGATTGAAATCCTTTCATACACTCAACCTTTATTTATACACAGCGAGTACACAGGACGACGAGTGCAGGAGTGATATTCTCCATTTTCCTTATTATCAGCAAATCTCATGTGCAGAGCCAATGTCTCCAACTAATCTTGTGTGTGTGTGTGTGTGTGTGTGTGTGTGTGTGTGTGTGTGTGTGTGTGTGTGTGTGTGTGTGTGTGTGTGTGTGTGTGTGTGTGTGTGTGTGCGTGTGCGTGCACCATGTTGTACCATGAACACACACACACACACACACCTTCCTGCTGCCTCAAATACGCACTAAAGCACCAGATGTGGATTAATACGCTGCTGAAAATAGTCCCCAACAAATGCACTATTTCCTGCTCTTTATTTGATAAAACTACAGTAAGGAAATTACTTTTATTTTGTTTTTTTTTGTTTTTTTAATGAAACAATATATTTGAACTGTTTTTATGAATTTCCATCTTCAGTAGGAACCAATCAGCTCGGAGCTGAGGAGGGAAGTGTTGAGAGACGGAATAACACACTGTTGGTTTTGGTTTTTTCATGAGATTTGCTGAAAATAAGAAAAATATAGAATAAATACAAACTGATCCTTTAATAATCTGAGTCAGAGCTAACTATCAAAACCAATTCAGGTGCAGGTGAAGTCAACTCATTTGTGCAATTCAGTCCAGGAGGAGAAAAACATTTTGATCATGATTTGTACCTGAGATGCTGAGTTTTCCTAAATGTAGGTAAAGTGTGGATCTCCTCTAACTATTGGAGGTCTACACGCTCAGGGGGCGTCGCTCTGTTAATTCAGCTTCTCTCTGAAGGTGCTGCTGCTCTGTCTCTTAGCTAATCTCACTCCAGTATAACCAGACCACATGTTCAGAGTAATGAGCTGAACCAGAATTTTATTTATGAGACTTTTTACCTTTCTCCACTACAGCTCAGAGGGTAGTTTTTGTTCTTTTTATTCCACTACATATGTGACAGGTGGAGTCACCGCTCACATTTCAGATTTAGGTTTCTGAGATAAGTTGTCCTGTTGTCTGGTCAAAACCTTCAGACGCTCTGTGAAGCGACTTTCAGACAAACAGCTGTGCACGATCTCTTTTCCCTTTCTGTCTAATCTTAACAAGCAAACACTTTTAAGAAATATTATAACATGATTTTTAAAAAAATATTTTCATTTTAAAAGACTAACAAAATGTATTCAGCAAAGACAAAGAGAAACAAATGATTCCTGTTACCCGTTTTTAGATAAGTAAAGAACTGAAAAGCTTGTGAATCTTCCCGCTGTGGTTTTACAGTATCTTTCTGTTGCTTTGGTTCAACTTTTACAACAACAAAAGCGTCATGCTTCATTTAACGTTTAAACACAAACTGCTGCGCTCACGTACAAAGTGCAAAACACTAAATCACACGCTCAGGCCTCAGCAGAGTAAACTGTTTCAGGCTTTATAGCATTGTAGCATTATAGTAGCCTATTGGCTTGTAATTTCAACAAATATATCATTAAAATATCTAAAGATTGACGGTCACCAGAATTCAGGATTTCCTATAAAGTAAAGTGTAAGTCTGAGTAAAGTCAGACTTGAGGCCACAGTAGATTTAATCTACAAATTCAGACTTTCACAAAGAAGTTTTACATCATTTCAAATGCTTCTCTGTAATTCATTTTGTTCTTGTTGCTATTTGTTTAATCTTTAAAGAAATGATCGATGCATTATTTGATTATTTGATAATGATCATTTTAAATTCTATTAGGAACATAGTTAAGTTACTGCCTTTCCCTCCTCTGTCTCTGCTGTCCTCCTCCCTGCAGACATTTTTCCTCTCAGCATAAAGAACCGTCCTCCGTGCACACACACTGTATCTAACTCCAAACTAATTGTGTTGAATCAAAACAGCCCCCCCCACACACACACACACACACACTTCCCCCCCCCACTGCTCTCCTCTGTCAGCGTGACCAGCGTGACCAGCGTGACCAGCGTGGGGGTGGGTGGGTTGGGGGGCGTGGACAGATCTCATGACCCTCCTGACGAGGTGATAATGTGAAAACAAACCGTATTAAATCCACCGCTGACCCCTGTGACCTCTCTCTGCTACACTACACCAGATAATGAACGCTGCTCAGAGAGACAGCGCTCTACCGGGCAACATTTTTTGTGACTCTGGTTACATTGGTCATGATTTACAGTAATCCTCCGTTATGAAACTCAGTATAAAATGTCGAAGCCTGCGGCCGCGGCTCAGACTCAAACTCTTGAGCTTTCTTGGCCGGACGCGGGGCAGCGAGGGAAATCTTCTGTGAAGCAGGAATTATGCTATGTGGTGCTAACACTTCACTGTATATTATCCTAAAGCTGGTATCCGATGCCGGAGGGGGGGCCAGTGCGAGTACCACAGAAAATGCTGCCCTCAGAGAACAAGTACGCTTTCACTTTACTACATCTAGTTCTTTTCTTATTGTCTTTAAAGGAGCATACCGCTGTTTTTGCACATTTTAGTCTTTACTGTTTCCAAATCCTTACTTGATTTCTCTTTAGAATTGTCAAGATGTTTTCTGATTTCCTTTTTTTGTGCCTTTTGCAAATGTCTTTGTGTTATTTGTGCACTTTAACTTAAATACAGCGAGTTCTCTGTTGTTGTCTTTAAAGGATCTTTGCAGTGTTTTTGCATCCAAGAAGAGTTGAACTGGACTTGGTTGTGGAGACTTGAAGACGTTTCCCCTCTCATCTAAGAGACTTCTTCAGTTTTAGACCTGAAGAAGTCTTCAAGTATCTACAGCCAAGTCCAAGTTGCCCTCCATTCAGCTCCTCTTGGAGAACCATGACCTGGCCTTTTGAAAAGCGTTAAATGAGTGTTTCAGAACTTCTTCCATTCCTGTAGCTGACAGTTGTTTCCATTCATTTATTTCTGTCCAGTAAAACCAGTAGATAACGATAATTAAAATATGCTTGAGATGTAGAATTTATCAGAGGGTTACCTCTGCTTTTGTTTTCATCAAAGTCACATTATCAGTTTGTGGTAATGTAGTGCAGACCGTTTAAATCCGTCTGCGCTCACGACTGATAAAGATGAGGAAAGAAAAAGAAGTTAACAAGCCGGCCGACAAATGTGTTTTCAATTGAATCTGCACAAAAAGATGAAACAACACCAGCACACTGGGATGTCTCCTTACATAGACGTGACAACATTGTCAACTTTTTTTCTTTTTATTTTTTATGTTGACAATCTTGTCACATTCATGCAGGATAAAGGGGCGGGCAGTGTTCGCACGTTGTTTCATTTTCGCTCCGAAGGACGTGGATGTGCATTTATCCGTAGGAACAGAGAGGAGGACTTCACTGTAACAACAGAAACAAACATCAGCTCACTTTTCTGCAACAAGGTTATGGCATATAGGTCAAAACGTTTTAATTGTGAGCTTAGCATTTCTTCTAAGTAATTAAAGCTCCACTGTGAGACTTAATGCATTCTTGGATTGGCTGTTTTAAAAGACTAAATATCAAGATGAGCACAGATGAGCTGCCAGATTTGCCACAGAGGCTGAGTTGGAGGCTCTTTGGTAGCAGACGACGACTTTCTTGGCCTCTCATCTCAGCAAAGTATGAACTTTGTTTGTTCATTAACAGATTTAAGGAGGGATTGTTATTCCAAAGCATTCCAAAGCAGACTGGACAAAAAGAATAGTTTCCTCTGGGATTCTGGATAAAAACTCAAAAACATATTTTTATCCGAGAAACAAAAAGTACTTCAACAAAAGAGACATTTCTCTAAATTGTTTGCCAGGCAGGACTTGAGTCAGCTTTGGCTTTAAGCACCAGTTGTGCAGTTAAAATGTTCGTAATTCACAAATCTTACATGTTCTGAAGAACGTTGATGTTACCATCAGGTTAAGGTGCAAAAACACTGGCGAAGTTCCTTTGGGGGTTTTTTTTTTTTTTTTTGGGTTTCTGAGTCTTTACGTCAGATTTAGTTTAAATCTCTTCACATGATCAGTCCAACCTTTTCAGCTCCATATTTCCACAGCTGCAGCTCATGCTGAGCTTTAGCTCGCTGTCAGCCACAGGTGACGTGACCTTTTCGCCTCTTGTCTCCTCCTCTTGTCTCTCAGCGCCATGGCCACCTACCCGCCCACCTGCTCCAACACCAACACGTCCCAGGGAATGAACATGGCCAACAGCATCGCCAACCTGCGGCTCAAAGCCAAGGAATACAGCTTGAACCAGGTGCCCACGGTCAACTGAGCGGAGGGGAGGCCTGGGGGCTCGCACACACAGGAGGGGAGGGGACCCTCTCTACTGCTGGACCCCACCCCCCCCCCACCCCCACCCCTCTCCACAGTCGGACACCATCTCTGGGATGAGCGTCATCTCACGCAACCTGGATCGTGACGTCTCCTCTCCTTTCTGGAGCAGCCTTGATGGCGCACTACTACATTTATACGCAGAGTGGTGTCAGGATTTTTCCCTAAGTCGCCTTATTTTTCTGTCCTGAGCATCATCAAACTCTTTGTACAAACAGACATCTAGACTGGATGTTGTAGCTGAATATCTGCATAGTTTTACATTTGTGATTGTGACTGAAAATGGAGGGCGAGATCCTCAAAGATATTTTTCTTTTTTTTTTTTTTTAAATCAGAGATCTTGTTCTCGACGGAAACTCATGTACGGACTACGTGGAATTCCCTCTGTCCGTTTTGGATGTGGTGTTGGATGAAATTACACACCAAAACTGGGATCAACGACTCCTTTTTTTTTCCTTTTTAAAATCAACAAAAAAACTGACAAGGACTTCCACATTTATGCAACTTTTTTTTTTTTTTAAAGATAGTTTTGTTTTTTTCCACATTTCTTTTCATGTTATACCACTGACATGCAAACATTTTCAACGCATTTTCATTTTCATTTTCATGTAATAGTCCAATATAAAGGAGAGGCTAATGTATTTCTGAATCCAAAACCAGTAGATTCTCCTTATTTCCTATGATATCCTTTATCTGTAACAGAATAAAAACTTGTATATTAATAAAAATGCATTTCAAGCAAGTGTCCACTTCACCAGATCTCAGAAAAAAAAAGGGGGAAAAATAGTTCTCCATAATAGTTTCCCAATTTTTTGGAGCACTCCTCCAGTTTTTCAACTGTGTCCTCGAACAAACTCTGACTGAATCTTTATGGTTGGATGATTTGTAACTTATCATAACAAAAAATATATGATTGCTACAATCCAGTCAGGCTTAAACTCTGCTTCAAAAACTATAAGAAATAAGTATGTTTATAGTTCAGACCTTGGAAAGCAAAATGATCTTGGACCTCGTGCACGCCCCATAAAAGAGAAGATTTACAACTCGAGAACAGATTCTCCTTCAGAGAAACCTCAAGCTGCTCCTGCTTTGTGTGTTTTCTTTTTTTTTTTTTCTTCTTCTTTTTTTTTTTTTTTTCTCATTACCGCAACCTGAAATTTTCATCTTAAAAACAGGATATTTATGAGCAGGGAAATCCTCTCCTTAATATGGAGGGCCCCTGGGCCTCGTTTCACTCCCGCGGCTGTCACACAAGGTGTTTCTTCTCCTTGGCCCCTCATAACCCTCACCGTCAACAAACACATGTCGACGGTTGTCCTCGCACGGCGCACGAGGGCCGTAAAAGTATGAAATCGCAGCTGATGGTGCTGTTTGGATTTTTGTGAAGGAAAAATTGCTGAGGAAATGTTTTTTTTTTTTTTTTTTTTTTACAGAGGTTTACTGATGGCAACTCACAAATATACAAGAAAAATGATTTTGCTTCTTTGTCATAAACCAAACTCCCTTCAGAAAATCTCAAGTTTCATTTTTCTCTGACAATAGTAAATATAATATACACTGTTAAAATGGTGTCTATAACATATTCTCATATTCTGCTAAATTCGGCAAGAATTCAAAATTCATTTTGTCTTTACAGTTTGCTGTTTGCTCTGGTCTCTCTGCTGCTGCTGCTGCTGCTGTTCTCTGGTTATTCAGTGTTTTATCGTCCTGTTTAGTGGAATTTGTGGTTCAGTGTGGCTTTGATATAGTGGTATTTTTACTTGACTATTCTGACCTGACAGTGTCAGATTCGGATTTTTACATTCAACATGCGACAAGCACATAAAATGTCCATGTTGCTCGGTAATAATCAGCCTTGTTGTCGCTTGATGTCACTCCTGTTTCTGAGTTTTCGTAAAGACTTTTAGAAAGAGACTGAAATCTGAGAATTTGGCTCGTGATCCTCTATCTGCTTGAGAGCAGGAAAATCTTTTCATCCTTTCATTGTCTCCAGTTTAGATGCTTTTACTGTTATGAATTTGTTTATTTTGATTGTAGGACTTTAACTAGTAAGAGAGCATCATTTTTTTTTTTTTGAAGCGCGGTATTGTCATTTTTAATTAAGTGAAAGATTTAAGGGCTTCTTTGGCTTCTTTAAGTTTCCTCAGTTGTGTGTGTGAGCTGAGCGAGGGTTAGCTTTGATAACAAGGAGGTTCACTGATGTGACTGGAGGGGTTTTCCTGACTCGTATGCCACATAAAAAAAAAGGGATATTTCTGTTTTCTTTGCAGCCGTTTTATTTTCTGCTGGTGGTTGTTTTGCTGATCGCTGATCCCTGACTGTGGTATGTCCAGTGTCAGACCCCTGTCCCCCTCTCCCCTGCCAGGCGCCCGGTCTCACCTTTCACGGCCAGGGCCTGGGCTGACCTGAAGTGATTCCAGATGTGGAGATCTTTTTGACCCCCCCCCCACACACACACACACACACATATACACACACCCTCCTCCTCCCCCTCCCCTTTTTAACCCCCAAGGCCCTGGCCAGCCACTCCATCAGGCTGACAGCGTCCCCTCGGACAGCGTCCTCTCCTCGCCTGAGCACATGACATACAAGGCAGCCCCCCCCACCACCACCATCACCATCACCACCACCGCTCCTCCTTCTCCCCCTTCGCCCTCACCCACCCACCCCCATCCTCAGCAGCACATCTGGAGCTCATTACAGAGGAGACAGTAAGAGTGAGGGAGGGGCGGGGAGTCTGAGTGCAGAGTGTGTATGTGCAAGAGAGCGGGAAAGAGAGCGTTTCTTAACCCTTCTCCCCTAAAACATCCACCTTTTTTTTTTCTTCCTCTTTCATCCCTTTTTCTCTCTTTGTTTTTTTCTTTCTTAACTTTTGCTTTCCACCCCCCTTTCCTTCGCTCTCCGCCCCTCCCTCTCTCCCGGCCCGCAGTGATCTTTGTCTCGCTGTCAGTGCCACATGATCACAAATACTTTATTAATGAGTGGTTTTGGAAAAGAGCTCGGCGGAGAAAAAAGAGAAAATCTCCGAGCAGTCTGAGTGAAATACTGCACAGCTGTTAACAGTGTGTGGTTTGGGTGAACAACCAAAAGAATGTCCCGAGATGTGGAGTTTCCACGCAAAGTCAAGTTGACTGAGAGGTTGCACTGTTTGTGTGATTAAGTCACTATTATTACACACTTTTCATAAACACAGATGCGGGCTCGAATACACCCTCTGTTGGATTGTAAAGGAAACATAATTAACTTCAATCTGCCATCTCAAGGTTAACGTTGATGACCATATGTACTGTTCTCCCATCGCCAACAAGTGGGTGTTGTTTTTTGTTTTTTTTTTCTCTCCTCTTCAGGCACCGAGACAATCTGGCAGCTTTTCCTCATTAAAAGAAGGTTGCTTTTTCTGATTAACATGGACTATTTTTAAAAGTATACACAACCATTTCACAATGGTTTAATGGCCTCAAAAGTCATTAAATTCTCTTAGAACTTGAAGACCATGTAAACTTTAGGATATCTCAGTCTGATGTGTGCGCTAAAACATTTCATTGCAAAAACTAGAGTATCAAAATGAATAGCTGGTTAGCAACAGGAAGAACTAAAAGGAAAGAGAGTCGGAGACAAAAAAAGAAGAAAAATTGACCTTCCCTTGCTTTCAGTTCAATCGTGAATGTTCGATTGTTGGATTCAAAATAAGAAGTGTTCTGAGAAAGCATTATCTGGCCTCTGTATTGTTACGCTGTTGGATGTGGGCCGCCAACAACTTGGCCATGAGTTGCTTTAGGATAACTCTGCTTTATCACATCTTGGGTCTTATTTTTGTATGAGGGCCAGAAAGCAGAATCTCTCAGAATTACATTCATACCGGATGTTTTTTGCAGCGCGTTTTTGTGCAGTGCTGATGTTCAATAGCACGTGGCGAGGCAGAAATTCAGGGCCTCCGTATATGTTTCAAACAAAGTGCTCGTCTGATCCTCTAACAGCGTCTCAATCCACCTTTCTGACAGTGTAGTAACTGAAACAGTGGATCCAACGATTACACCCACTTCACTCAGAGATTAGCCAGGTGTGTGGTGGAGGTGTGGAAGCGGGTGGGGGTTTGAATTTCACTCTCAAGCTCCTGGAAAAAAAAAATGTTGTCAAGGTAACACCATGACTGTCTCAAAGCCGTATGACGAGACTTCAGAGCCACGGAAAGATGCTGTGTCTTAATTCGGACACTGACATGTAGAACACTGTGCACACTGTGCACTCACTGACGTCGTGTCGTCTCAGATGAAACAAGATCAAAATGACATGTCGCAACATTTGACCGTGATTGTCACCAAAGAAAATGTCCAGCAGCTGCTTTGAGATTGAACGTTATACTTTCCTGTGTGGCCCCTCGTTTCATGTGATCATCGGTGCCAACAACGGAGTGCTCCTTCCTCGGGCCACCATTTCCACAAGTTTGAAAAATACGTTGATGGACCCTCCCTTGTCCCTCCGCCATGTAGCTGAGAAGTGGCCAGTGTTTCACGCTCAGTTTTTTTGACTGTTTTGAGTGCGAAAGGTGATTTGAAAGTTGTTGGATCAGGGAGGCAGTGAGACGCAGCCGGGACGAGGATGTGACAGCAGGACAGGTAGAAAACCTTTTCATTTGGTTGGACGACTTGCCTTATAAGAACTAGTTTGTGCCAAGCAGACTAAGACCTGAAGGGTGTGGAGGTTTGGTGATGTAGCGTGTCTGACTTTTACCCAGGAGATGAGTTTGTAATGTTTCTTTCTTTTAGCAGAGTTAGCAGCTAGGAATGTAGGCGTTCATCAGTTGCTGCACCACCAACAAATTTTGATTTTATTACCATGATTTTTGTGATCTCTGGTGATCTTCTGACTCTTTAATTAACAGAATCATCACATCAGATTTTCCTTTTGTCCAAATCTTCAGTTTGGTATTTTTTATAACCT